ATTAATTCATGTTAATTAGATTTTTCTTTATACCTTGCTTAATTAAACAGCACTCTATTCCTTGTTAGATTTCCAGGCCATCAGAATAAAAAACCAACATGCTGACAGGCAACTTAAAGAGATACCTTAGGCAGGCTGTGCCCATCGCTCTTATGCTGACATTTTCCAGAAATGATTTTACATAATGTCCCATATATATCACTCCCGATATACAACAATTCCAGAATTTATTTTGTGATTTTTCTTCTTCTTCTTTTCCTTCTCCTGAGTTCTTCTTCCTTCTTGTTTTATCTCCTCCTTCTTTCCTCCCTTCCCACCTCTGGTCCTCCATTATCACCATCCTCATCATCAGAGCAGTGATGTGCTAATACATAGCATTCTTAGACAACTTAAGAGACAGCTATAACCAACCAACCAAACTCACTCCCAGCGAGTGACACATTAACAACTCCTACTGGGTTTCCAAGACTGTAAATCTTTATGGAAGCAGACTACCCCATCCTTCTTCCACAGAGCTGCTGGTGGATTCAAACCACTGACCTTTTGATTAGCAGCCAAATGCTGTAACCACTACATAGCTATATCATTCTTATATTAAAGACCAGGAAACTGACCATGTTCCTGCAGCTAAGGTATTAAAGCTGGGCTTCAAGCACAGGCCGGGTGCTTTTGTCACTAAGCATCACAGTTCAGCCCGTGCTTTAAAAAACAATTTGTAAATGTGAAACAAAACTCAAAATCATAAAAAAAGAAGAAGAAGAAGACAACAATGATGATGACCAGGCTTAATGGTGTGATAAAACTGGTGAAACCCCTGAGACTATGGCCCTTAGTCACTATTTGGGCCTAGAATTGAACTTACTCCCATGGCTTAACTTTCAACCAAATAAGTTGTCTATTAGGTAAACAATTACACAGGGTGGTGCACTCCTTAGAACAACCAGCCATAGGAGATCAGAAAGGCAACATTTGCACAAGGAGAAAGCTCATAAGGCATGACTGCACAGGAAAGGACACAGGGAAATAGTAACCATAGGGAGGAAGTGGGAAGAAAGCTGTTTTACTGTGGGGATTGCAATCAATGTCATGAAACAAAATGTGTATGAACTGTCAAATGGAAAATGAATTTGCTCTGAAAACTTTCACCTAAATCACAAGTTAAAAAAAAAAAAAAAGGAATAATATTGAGGAATAAAAACTCAAATACAAAAAAAGAATTTGTATCTTTAGGAAAGAGTTCTTAGTCAGATGAATAGTATCTTGTCTTATGGGAATTAAAGCATTAATAAATTGATAAAATGTTGGCACATAAATTATCAGACATATCCACTGAATCATACAAAGGTTGTGAGTAGAGCAAACATCCCTCTTTGATTGTGTTCAAATTCATTTTTCTTTGCACAGTCTAAAATTGGATATAATAGTAGACTATTCAGAATCATCTGTATATATTTTTTCTGCCTATAAAATGATATAGAAAAACTTCCTAAATCAGATTATTCAGGAAAGAAGTGGAGAGAGGCGTTGAGGTATGATGAATTTGTCAAACTAATTTACTATGATGGCTGCCTTTGGAGAATATAATAATCTAGAAGCGTTTAGAAGGGACTGAAAGGAAATTAATTCAATAAAGCTTTTTGAATGTCCACCATGTGCTAAGTATTATAATTTAATGACCATGCAAGAAAGGTTTATAATTAGTTTATAAATTTTAAATATATATTAATACTTTTAAACTGCTTAAAATCACTTGCAGTAAATAAGCATTTAGCCACATTCTCAATTTTGCTTATGACATTAATTTACTAAACAAATTCTTTCCTTCATTCTGTTCCCTTCTGAACAATAAAGAGAGAAATCATCAGAAATTAAATTAATGGGGCTTTACTTCTATTTTAAATCTCTACTCAGCATTCTCGTCTGTATTCTAAATAATTTCAAATCATTAACATTTTTTATGGAAGGAGGAGGGTTCTGTTTCTCAACACTTAATTGAATTAAATGATTTACTTTGGATCCTATTCAATTTTCTTTCTGCTTTCTTTAAAATGAGATGACCCAGTATGAGCAATAAATGCCCCGTAAATGCTAAAGTGGTCCATTGTAATGTTAATAACAATATTTGTAGGAGTAGCATCAACCATGTGCTAGCAACTTATGTGCCCGGCTCAGTGGTAAGTGCCATATACATCTTCTCATACAATCCTCATACACTCGTGTGGTGGGTAGTATCCAGTGGCATCGCTAGGGTTGGTGTCACCCCTCACCAAACATGGTCAGGGCTTCTGGCAAACTCCTCTGGTGGGTGAGTGCTGGGCCCTAGATGCAAGGTCCTGTCCCTCCCAGGTCAACCCTCCACCCCATGGTTCCTCCCCTCTTCCATTGGCCAAAGTAGAGACCTTCCTCTCTGCCCAATGTGCAGGCAGGTGACTGTAGGTGGTGGTGGTGGTGGTGATGACAATACTGCAAAGGATGACAGGTGACAGCAACCCTAATGATGCCACTGTCTTGGCAGCACCTCCCGTGCAATTAGCGCACCTACTGTCACTGCCACTGCTGCAGACCCTGGGTCATTTTGGTGCCACCTTCTCTGATAGTGTCAGGGAGTATACTGTGCACTCCTCCCCCTCTCTGACTAGTGACAAGACTGAGTATTTTCTTTTACAAATTAAGAAACTCATCAGAACTGAGACGTAACTTGTTTAAGATCACTGAGCCAATAAACTTTCTGAAGGTTTATGTTTGGTAATTTTTTGGAATTACAAAAAAAAAAACAAAAAAAAACCCCTCAAAACCTAACTCACTGCTGGCGAGTCAGATCTGACTCACAGTGACCCCTCCTTGGGTTTCTGAGGCGGTATCACTATGAAAGTAGATTGCCCAACCTTCCTTCCGAGGAGTGGCTTGTGGGTTTGAACCGCCAGCCTTCTGGTTATCAGTCAAATGAGTTAGGCACTACGCCAGGGTTTCTTAATTACTTTATAACTTAAATGCAATACTCATGCACCTTTTCACTGCCTAGCTTTCCTGGCTGCACTTTCAACTACCAACTTTTACAAGAAGTTTTCAAGCCTACAAGTAATATTTGTGTGGACTTGTCTTAATGGACACCATCTTAATCTTTTGAGGTGCTGAGTTTTCCTCAACTCTGTTGATGTTCTGATTTCTGAACCTTTGACAATGGGAGGGGCAAGGAAACCAAAGGAGGACTTAAGTAAGCCAGAAGGAGCTGTCTCAATATAATTATTTCAGTCAAATAACAGCAAATCAAACAGCCTCATTACATTACTGATGTGGCAATGATGGCTTCAAACAAAGAGGATTCCTAATTCTGATTCACTTATATCATAGGGCTCAATCAGGTACCAGGTGACAGCTACCAACACACAGCATGATTCTAGACCAGAGTTGATATATCCTAATCTCTAGGTTTCTCATCAGCATATTTTCTCATGTCATTATGAGTTGTTCCTTTTAGTTCTTTTGGGTACAGAGGCTGCACCATTTTACATTACCACCAGCAATGTACGAGTGTTCTGACTGGTCAACACTTGCTTTCCAGTTTTTTTTTTTTTTTTTAAATAGCTCTCCTAGTGGAGGTAAAGTGGTATCTCGCTGTGGTTTTGATCTGCACTCACCTGATGAATAATGATGTTGTGCATCTTTTCATGTATCTGTATATCTTCTTTGGAGAAATGTCTAGTCATGTCTTTTGTTCAGTTTTTAACGGGACTGTTAGTCTTTTTGTTGTTGAGTATTAAAAGTTGTTTGCAAATTCTGACTGTTGTTGTTGTTATGTGCTGTTGAGTCGGCCCCGACTCATAGCGACCCCTCCTTGGGTTTCCGAGGCAGTATCACTATGGAAGTAGGATTGCCCAACCTTCCGCAAATTCTGACTATTAAACCCTTATCTGATATATGGTTTCCAAATATTCCCTCCCACAGGTTGTCTCTTTCCTTTCTTGACAATGTTCTTTGATGCAGAAAAGCTTTTAATTTTGATGAAGTCTAGTTTTTTCACTTGTTGCTCATGCTTTCGGTGTCATATCTGAAAACTCATTGCCTAAAAGGGGGTCCTGAAGTTTCGCATGCTACAGTTTCTTCTAAAAGTTTGATAGTTTCAGTTCTTATATTTAGGTCATTTGAGGAATCACTGTATATGGTGTGAAGTATATTGTCAGCACCCATTGAGTTGGACCCCAAGTCATGGCGACCCCATGCAAAATAGAATGAAAACACTACCAGTCCTGCACCATTTTTGATTGGTTGCAAATCAGACAATTGTGATCCACAGTTTACTCTGGCTGAGTTTTGGATGTACATTGCCAGGTCTTTTTTCTTTCTCTTAGTTGGGAAGGGACACAGATATCTGTTCAGCAAAGCTTTGTTCTTTTGCATACACAAATCCAGTTTCTTAGCACAATTTACAGAAGGGACTATTCTTTCCCCACTAAACACATTTGCACCTTTATCAAAAATCAATTGGCCACAGACGTATGGGTTTATTTATGGATTTTTAATTCCATTCCATTGGTCTATGTGTTGATCCTTATATCAGCACCACACTGCTTTTATTACTATAATATTTTAAAATCAGGAAATGTGAGTTCTCCTTCTTTGTCTTTTTTGTTCAAGTTTGTTTTGATTATTCAGGACTCCTGCAATTCCATATGAATTTAAGAGTTAGCTTTTCCAAAACAGTTTCTATTATATTTCTATACAAGATAATTAAATCCAGGAAGGGAAGAAAATTTTATAATTGAAATAAAATATTTGCCTCAACTATCAAATCTATCCTGTGAACATAAAAAAAGAATAACAAGAAAATCTCATAACAAAAACAATCTATACTTTTCTTAAAGTGACAGAAAATGAAAATGTATTTTTAGACTAGAGAGTGATTTTGTTAGACAAACCCAAGATAAAATAGTCTTATGCAAATAATAACATTTCCAGAACAGACGTTAGTGATTTTGAAAAACCAGATATATCTACCTTACCTAATGAAAACCAACTTCACTTTTGTTGGGGCAGTCTTAATAATGGCAGATGCATTTTGGTGACTTCTTCCATATAGGATCTGATTGTTTATCTGTATGAGAAAAAAAATAAAATAAAATGCACTTGTAAAAAATATACTATACATTAAGGTACAATAACTGATCTCTATTCTCCTGGAGCACCAGGGAAGGATATTCAGGAATAGGAGAGGAGATGGAATGTGTGGCTAATTGCCTCCATGAGTAACTGTCTCCTTTGCCAAGGAGATCTGGTGATACAGTACCTAAGGCATTTGACTGCTAACTAGAAGGTCAGTGGTTCAAACCTACCAGCCTAATTTGCAGAACAAAGATGGGACAATCTACTTCTGTAAAGATTTACTACCTCAGAAACCCAACAGTGATCACTATGAGTCAGAACTGACTTGATGGCAGTGAGATTTTTGCCATGAGACCAGAAGGACTGGATAAGTACCTGGCTACCGTTACTGAATGTTTTCATCTATTGTGTATAAGAATCTCGATCAAATGGGAGAGAATGCCACCCCGTACTTAAAATTCCCATTGAACCCAGACTTTCTGGAAGAACTGAACTAGATAAATCCCAAACTATTGTCCTGAGATACTTTCCATCTTAAACCAAAAATATCCCTGAAGTCTCCTTTAAACCAAACAATAGCTTAGCTTAACAAGGAAAAAAAATGTCTGCCTTGAGCACTGTGGTCTTTTAAGAACTATCCATGTGGGATCGAATGACAATGACAATTCAAACAATTAGACAGAAAACTTTAGGGATAGTGAGTTTACATCAGTGGGGGAAGAATCATTCGGAAAAGTGAGGAGAGAACGGTTATACAATTCTAAGAACGTAATCAGTGTCACTGAACTGTACAGGTAGAAATGGGTGGATTGGTGATGTTCTGCTGTGTATACTCTCAACAACAACAGAAAAACATTTAAAAATACACTACATATATACTTGGAAGTAATCAAACAATAAAGTCCATTAATTTTTAAACAGGTACATGCAGGACTCTCTAATATCAAAAAATCTTAACATTCTTTACAGTATGGATTCAAATATGATCATTTTAAGTAGCTACTAAAAATCTCTTAAATTTGGTTTTGATTGCAGTTAATAAAGATCATACACCTTGGTCCTTTTGCCAATTTCGAGAGCAGTAGAACTAGATACAAAACTTTATGATGGATATTGTATTTCCTACAGCTTTTCCAGATTTCCGAAATATGTAGAAAACAGATCAAACTGTTGTATTCACCAGAGCTCTGGAGGGCCCATTAAACTCAAATCTGTAAATGTGTCAAGGTCATTACACAGCATAAATTTTGTTACTCTCGAGGAGGTAAATACTATATCCACATTTTAAATCATATTTTAGGTTGATTACACAGAAATATTTTATTCTACCCAATCAATGGGCCATCTGCTCATAATGAGATATAGTAGGATTTCTAACTTGAAAGGATTCACCTAAATAGGATCTAAATTTTTAAATTTAGATTTAAAAATTTCTAAATTTTTCATTCTAGATTTTACCACTGACAAACTATGATAATAGAAGTCACTGAGCTTTCATTTTATTTCATCCAGTTGAAAACAACCAGTACAGTTTTGGCTCCACCCTCCAAATTGCTTTAATAAGTAGTTAATGATTTATACAATTTGCTCTAAGGGAGCTCTACATTTAAATGAGGACTCCCTCCTTTGCTATTTAAACGATATGCCTATTGTAATCAGCAAGGGATTTGTCTGTCATTGATGTCTCTGAAATTTTGCATTTGAAGATACATTTGACACATCTTTGAAGACACACAGAAAAAGGTAGGTTTTTCTGTCACAACAGTTATGAGAAAGGGTATAGGAGTGAACACTTTGAATGAAAATATAATCATTTTACCTGTCCAAACTGAAGCTCATCCATCACCTTGTCTGAAGTGGTGAAGCTGGGATTCATATCCCAGATAGCTGCAAAAACTAATCTTGAGCTACCTCCTCAATCTTTCTCCCATTCTATCAGCTTTCATTTTTCACCAAGATAATCAATCACAGAGAAACCCACCAATTTCCTCAGTTTCCTCTTTTCTAAAAGCGATTGAAGCACCTGCTTCGTAAAGCTGTTGTGAGAATTAAATGAGATAATGCTTTTTCATTGCATTGATAGTGATTTTGAAAGCCAAAGGATTTTTAATATTTATGTGTTTGAAACTATCCATTTGACTGTTAACCAGAAGGCTGGTGGTTCAAACCCACCTGCCACTCCTCAGAAGAAAGACTGGGTAATCCACTTCTGTAGAGATACCACCTCAGAAACCCAAGGAGGCGTCACTATGAGTTGGACTCGACTCGATGGCAGTGAGTGAGCCTTTAATATTATGCATTTGAAAATGTGCCCATCCTCATCATGATGTAATTATTCATGTATGTTTTCTACTAATACTTTCATAGTTTATCTTTCTCATATTTGCCTCTTTGTACATTATTCTGTTATAAGGGAAGTGATTACCCAGTGCCATAGGAAGTGGTCCAAATGTAGTAAATGATGAAACCAGGTTATAAAATAGTAACGTCTGTCATGATGAAATACAAACAAGTATCTTTAAACATGAGGTGATGCAGGAATATATGTGGTTTAAAACCTGCTGTTCACGTAATTACTTGTGAATGTCTTCCCCTTTGTGCCTTTTCTAAACCATGAGGGATCTAAACCCTCCCCCCTTAACTTGTGTCCGGGATTCTATCAGCTTTTGTTTTTCACCAAGATAATCATATAGAAATCCACTGATGTCTTCAGTTTCTTCTAAAAAGAACCCAAACTCCTAGTTCATAAAACTGCCGTGAAAATTAAATGAGATTATGCTCATGACACTAAATTTTTGAAAAAAATCTATCTTACAGCACTTACATCCCAACATGGCATGTTAGGCGGAAACACCAGTGCAGGCACATAACATTTATTGAACTGAGCTGAACTCCTTGAGGGCAGGAACTGGCTTTATCTTCTTGGTATTCCCCAGTGTTTCATGCTTAGCTTGCACACAGTGGTGCTCAATAAGCATTTGCTCAATCTTAGAGCGCTCGATGGAGGTAGACCAACTGCTCGAAGGTGGGCTCCAGCATTCAAAATGATTGAGATTAAAACATTTTTCTTTTCTCAGCAGCAAAAGCTTCAGCATATAGAAAATCAAACTGCTTCATGATTATGGAGATGCCTGCTTTGAAGCTGTGAGCCTCCATTTTGATAGAATACAAATGTTTTATACAAATTCTAAGATAAAATACAAATTCTAAGAGGGAGAAATTATACCCCAGATGAGAAGAGCAGGTCATTAATTTTAATTTACATAAGCATAAATCTAACGTTATGTTTTTCTGGTGCTGTTTTTAACTATTCAGAGGCTCTGGCCATTGAAACGCAGATCAGCTTGCTTGCTGGTGAGGCTTTTTCCAGCACCAACAACGGTGGTGTTTACTGCTAAAGCAGCTGCTGCCTGCAAATGTTCAGTGGCCTCTGGAGAAACTCCTCTATATACAGCAGGAAACTGGGAACAGAACAAGAAACTGGAGAGGGAAACCTGATTTCACTGGATTCAACCTAATAGGAAAATGCAGATCTCTGTTTTTTTTAAAAAAAGACAAAGGTTCTTTTCAAGGCTAGAGAATGACATATCAGTGGCCTCTGAGTTTCAGGTGAGGTAGCTCTCTTTTGTGTTTTCTTACAGTCTTATTTAATATGGCACAATTTCAATATTTAAGTGAAAAGTATGGAGCTTCCAGCTATGAAAGCAGATTTTACATCACTAAAGGAAACACACTCCAGAGGAAATTCAGTTAGTAATTAGGAAGAATATGATGTATATTATGCACAATTAACTTTAGACTGTCATTTATTCTATTACTGAGAAGCTTCTGTTCTCTGAGGGTCTCTATTCTTTAAACAACAGATGTAGAAGGTTTTCCAAGTAGAGTGTAGGCAAAAAAAAAAAAAAAGAAAGCATTCCACATCTCCTGGAAGTCTTTCAGGTTAATTAAAATTATTAATGGCTACCACTTGCTGAGTGATTTGTTTGTGCCAGAGACTATGCTAAGCAATTTTTGCCCAGTATTTCATTTAAATCTCAGAACAGACAGGGAATAATGTATTATTAGTCCATTCAACAGATTAAAAACAGAGAACCTGGTAGGTTCGAACAGCCGACCTTTTGGTTAACAGTCAAGCACTGAATCACTGCACCTCCTTCAACAGATTAGGAAATGGAAAGTCAGAGAGTAATTTGCTCAAGGTGATTTAGCTATCAGATAAAAGCCTATAATCCTAGGGCACACCTGGATGTCACATCCTATGTATGGTGCTGAAATAATCAGATGATCTTCAAAGGTCATTTTTGTAAACATGTTTATTAAATAAATCCTGTGCAGAAAGAGGAGGATGCTTATCACTCACCATTTTAGGTCCCAGACTTTTGAGATAAAAGGACAGAATCAATCAATTCACCACAATGCATAAAGAAAGAATCCCCTAATAGCTTACTGCTAGGCTTTAAAACAAATTTTAATTCATTTTTAATTTTTTAAATAATAATTTAATTTTTTAAAATTAAATATAGATAACAACAAATATTGGTGATGGTTACACAACATGACTGATGTGATTGTTATCACTAAATTGTATACGTGAGAGATGCTGAACTGCTGTTGTTGTTGTGTTTTGCCATCAAGTCAGACCCGACTCACAGAAACCCCTCCTTGGGTTTCCGAGGCAGTATCATTACGGAAGTAGATTGCCCAACCTTCCTTCTGAGGAGTGGCTGGTGGGTTCCACTGCTAAACTTTTTAAAAGTCCCAAATGTAAGATGGAGTTTCAAAAGACAGTACTTTCCTATTTGTACAAACAATACCTGAACAATATTATACCCTTGTTACATTTTTTTCTTTTCTTTTTTTTTTTTATTCTACACCAGCTACTCCTTGGAAGGAAGATTGGGCAATCTACTTCCATAGAGATACTGCCTTGGAGACCCAAGGAGGGGTTGCTGTGAGTGGGATCTCACTCGACGGCAATGAGTTTGTTTG